CAACTCATTTTACAAAATAAAAATGAGAAAATAAAATTTATAACAGTATGCATAAAAGAACAAGCAGTAAATCTCAACTACAAGCACTAAAAGAAAGAAATAGAAAACTAAAGCATAAAAGAGCAAAGAAATAAATCTAATCTATAAAGCATGAAGAAAAAGTATAATACAAGCATGAAATAAATCTAAGCTACCAAACGTAAAATAAAAATAAGAAAATAAAACCTTAAAATAAGAAAATAAGAGAAGAAAATAAAAACTTACATTTGCAAGGGATTGGTCCCTTCAAAGCCAAATATTCATCTTCATTATAAGAGAAGAAGAAAAGAAAATTAAGTAGAAATTTTTTTATTTGTTACAAATAAAAAATTTATAATTTTTGGAACATTTTCTCAATTAAGAGTAACCCTCTTCTCCAAAATAGAGTTTTTAGAAAAAAAATTGCACCAAACCCCTCACTCTCTACCCTTATTTATAGCTCATAACAATCAGCAAGAACCATTATATTTGTCTTAAGCTCTAATAAATAAATCTCACTCATTAACTGATTATGTTAGGATCTAATCGGTTGGCCAATCAATTAGCAAACCGGTTAGCTAATCGATTAGCTAATCGCTTGGTCAATCGCTAGGCCAATCGATTAGTTAATTGACTAGCCAATCGATTGGTTAATCAATTGGTTTATAATCCATGATTTTTTAAATTTGAATTTGTTTCGACCCAATGGCAAATAATTTTGTCGAGTTCATAACTCATAATTTCATGAGTTATAACCCATGATTTTTTATTTTTTTCATTTTAACTTCATGGAGAATAATTTTATGGAATATAAAATTCACGAGTTTATAAGCTATGACCTATGTGTTTTACGCATTTTCATCGTTTCGACCCAATGAAAAAAATTTATGTAGTTCAAAGTTTATGATTCTAAGAGCTATAACCGATGATTTTTTTTAGTTTTTTCATTCATTTTGATCCAATGGAAAATAATATTTTGGAGTTAAAAATTCAAAACCTAATAAGATATAACTTATGATTTTATGAGCTATAACTCGCAAGTTTTATGCATTTTTATTCATTTCGATACAATGGTAAATAATTTTTTAGAGTTTAAAACTAATGATTTGATAAGCTATGATCTATATTTTTATTCCATTTTCGTTCATTTGATAAGCTATGTCAAATTCTCAAAGCCAAACGCAATCTTACAAAATCTGGAATTCATGATTTCATAAGCTATACCCATGATCTTTTAATTTTTTTATTTATTTGAACCAAATGGAAAATAATATTTCTAAGTTTAAAATTCAAGACATCATAAGCTATAACCCATGATTTTTATCCATATCTATTGATTTTAACCCAATGGAATATAATTTTAAGATGTTTAAAATTCACGATTTCATTACCTGTAACCTACAATTTTTTTATTTTTTTTATTTGTTTCGACCTAATGGCAAATAATTTTGTGGATTTTAAAATTTACTCATGAGTTATATCTCATAATTTTTGTGCATTTTCATTCATTTCAACCCAATAGAAAATAATTTACGATTTCATGAGCTATAACCTAAATTTTTAAAAAAAATTCATTTATTTTGACCCAATACCAATCAATTTTATAGTGCTCAAAATTTACAATTTCATGAACTATACCACATAATTTTTTTTAAAATTTTTATTCATTTTGATCTAACGAATTTTGTGGATTTCAAATCTCAAGATTATATGAGCTATAACCTACATTTTTATAAGCTATAACCAATGATTTTTGTCTATTTTTTGTTTCGACCCAACAGAAAATAATTTTGCGGAATACAAAAATCATGATTTCATGAGTTATAACCCATGATTTTAAAAAAAATCGTTTTATTTCAACTAAATGGTAAATAATTTATGGATTTTAAAATTCACAATTTCATAAGTTATGATCCACAATTTTATTTTATTTTTTCATTTTGATCCAATGGTAAATAATTTTGTGGAGCTCATAATTCATAATTTTATGAGCTATAACGTGCAAATTTTTATCTTTTGTTCATTTCAGTCCAAAGGTAAATAATTTCATGGAGTTGAAAATTCATGATTTTATGAACTATAACCCACATTTTTTGCACATTTTTGTTCAATTTGATCCAATGGAAAAAATATTTTTACAGAGTTCAAAACTCATAATATCAAGAGTTATAACCCACGATTCTTTTATTTCTTATCTGTTTCCCAACTCATCGCAAATAATTTGTGAAGTTCAAAGTTCACAATTTGATGAGCAACATCCCACAAATTTTGTGCATTTACGGTTCGTTTCAAGCGAATGGAAAACAATTTTACAAAGTTCAAAATTAATGATTTCAACCTAGAACTCAGGATTTTTCTTTTTTTGACACAATGACAAATAATTTTGTGGAGTTCAACATTCACAATTTCATGTGGTAAACCCGTAATTTTTAAATTTTTTCGTTAACCCATGATTTTTTTAATTTTTCCATTTGTCTCGACCCAAGGACAAATAAGTTTGTGGAGTTCGAAAACTAAATTTTATAAGCTATATCCCATAATTTTTATGCATTTTTTTACATTTTCGTTCATTTAGAACTAATGAAAAACAATTTTACGAAGTTTGAAATTCATGATTCCATAAGCTATAACTCACGATTTTTATATTTTTTCATTTTTTGACCAAATGTCAAATAAGTTTGTGGTATTCAAAACTCACAATTTCATGAATTATAATCTACAATTTTTTTATTTTTTTGATACAATTTGATGAAGTTTAAAATTCACGATTTTATTAACTATAACTC